AAAGTAGATGGTCCAGATTCTCCTGGTAGCGGGGGTAGGGTTCATATTAACTGGTCAAGTGATTCTTCAAGCATGGCCATTTCCACCTGGGAAGTTCCTGAAGACTTGTTTTTCTGAGTATTTCTGTTAAGACAAACAGTCTTTTATTGGGTAGCCCTTCTGCCCTAGAGACGAGAGATAAGTACCATAGAAACTTGGAGACAGCCATTGCCACAGTCCCTGGACTCTTCAGTAAGAGCCCATTCTCTTATTAGAAATCTTATTAGAATGCGAGCTTCTGCGTTCTAGGGCTTAGCAACATACTCATGAATCAGTAAGAGCCTGTGTGACTTTCGATGTGACAAAAGCCATTTAATAACTCTCCCTGTTTCCTGAAGAGCCGACAGGGTGCAGTTAAAGTCACAGGGCAGTGTTATTAAGTCATTACGGGGGATGTGGCTAAAGGCCAGGGGCAGCAGAAATTGGGTTCTTTTTCCTTAAGGGCCTTTCCTCTGTTTACCTTCCTTATAATTAAAGCCCTAGTTGATGTTCCTCCAGACCACGTCCCTTCTGTCCGCCTCAGGGCCCTGGGAATCAGCCACAAGCCGCCATGCTTCTCCCTGCCACTAGAGGGCGCTCTTTTCCTACTCAGGTCCCTACAGTGGTCCGGGCCTGGGGAGAGGGGACTGTGGGCTTTGGTCCTGTGTACATAATTAGATGGCCTTGGTCCAAAGCCCAGCTTCCATCTCCTCTTTGGTCTCAACTTTTCCGTTGGTAAAAAAGTAGGGAGGGTGATCTCAGGGCCCTCCACGCCCATCAAGGAAGGATGTGGGGATGGAGACACATCCGCCAGCAGTGTCCGGTCTCTCCTAAGGGGGAGGGTAGAAGGCCGGCCCGTTTCCCAAACCCTCTCCTCTTACCAGTCCTGGGAGAAAGGAACAAGGAAGCAGAGGGAATAGGAGATGCTTGGCTCCCGGCCCTGAGCTGAGGAAAGAAGCCTGAGCAGAACCATATTAGGAGTTCATGGGACAGGGAGAGTTCTAGGAGGGTCTCGAGGAGGAATAGACACTCCCTCAGGAAGGTGAATAGAGGAAAAGACCCAGGTGGGTGGGGGAGGTTGGTCAAAGGTATCCAGAGAAGACAGCTTCCTGATCCATCTGCATTTAGAGAAGGAGGTCGTTTTCAGCAGATAAACAGAGAATGGCCCCCTGGGCATTGTGCCTCAGTCTAGGCCTGGCAGTTAGCGACATATGGGCAGGAAAGTAGCAAAACATGGGCCTTTCAGAGAAGAGAAACCAAGGATGTTTGCAGAGAGACGAGCTTTGAGCAGGAGGTGAAGAATGAGTAAGATTTGAATAGGCAACTACAACAAATATTGATTGAGAGCCCGCCGTGTGCCAAGCTGTGGGCCGGGCACTTGGGATTTGGCCGTGAACCTAACAGACACAGTGGCTGCCCATTTATAGAGCTTACAGTAGAGTGTGGGAGTCTACAGTCTAGCTCTGAAATAAACCTGTGGGTTTAATTGTGGTGGGAGTCATGAGTGTGGGGGTGGGGGGTTGGGACCCCTGCTGAAGAAGGGTCCCCTAAGCTGTGGCCTGCAGGAGGAGGGGTTCCAGCAGAGGAAAGGCAAGTGTGTAGCCTCCAGTATGAAGGAGACCTTGAGATCAGAGAGGACTGAAAGAAGCCATCTAACATATGAGGATACTTCAAAAGGCTCATGGAAAAATTAAAATATAATACAAACGTTTCCACGAACTTTTCTTTTTTTTATTTTTATTTTTTTTTTTATTTTCAAAAGGCTCATGGAAAAATTAAAATATAATACAAACGTTTCCACGAACTTTTCTTTTTTTAAAAAAAATAAAAGATGACTGGTAAGGGGATCTCAACCCTTGACTTGGTGTTGTCAGCACCACGCTCAGCCAGTGAGCGAACCGGCCATCCCTATATAGGATCCGAACCCATGGCCTTGGTGTTATCAGCACCGCACTCTCCCGAGTGAGCCACGGGCCAGCCCTCCACGAACTTTTCAAAGTACCCTCATATACGTGTTTGTGGCTACTCTCTCCCACCCCGGACCCCACCTGGCTTCCCACATACTAGGTCACTTCGTGTGCTCTCTCCTAGGCAGAATCTGGGCAGTGGGCTAATGGGTCAAGCTAAAAGGCAGCTGAAGAAGCTGTGGCGATGTGCTCGGAGGAGGGGACAGGGCTGGGGTCTGGGAGAAGTGGGAGCCGCCTGGGAAGAGGGTATTGCCATTTTTATTTGTGTAATTTTTTTTTTTTAATGGCTAGTCAAGTGAAGCAATGGGAGTGGAGAAGGAACAAAGAAGTCTGTAATTGGTTGTGATCTATTAGTTGTAAACACCCCTTGCACTTGGACCCACCAAATTTTTTTGACAGGAGTCCTTTTTTCTTTTACTGTGTCTTTCTGTATATTAAAAATGCCCTCTCTCTTAGTTATATTCTCTAAGGACTGAGAAAATATCTAAGTTTCTTCTAACTGAAATTTCCTTAAGTCAGCAGGATGCAGAATGGGCCGCCTGGGCACCAGTCCCGCCTGGGACTGCAGAGAGAAGGCAAGCGTGAGTGAGTTCTGAGGAGCTGCAGAGGAGCTGGGGCTGGAGAAGTAGGGAGAGGTCTGATCTCAAGGAAATGAGAGGCATTTCATCTCCATTTGAGGAGCCATGGGGAGTTGCTCAAGGGTTTTAGGCTGAGCCATGACATGACATGACCAGATCTACTGTGAGCAAAGGTTCTGGAATAGGGCAGGGCAGGGGAGTGGCACAGGAAGCATGGTGGTGCTGGCTCATGCACTTTACTCTGGAGGCTGGAGAAAGCCAACCTCAACTCTCAGCCCCTGACCCTAATCCTTAGAAAACCTGAGCAAAGCTAGTGAACCGCCCTCCAGAAAAACAGAGACCAACCACACACCAAGCTTTCTGTCCACTTTCAGGGGAGATGGAGGGAGGATCTGTCAGAAGCCTCTGAAGCTGCAGCATAAATGATTGTGCACCAGGGAGGGACAGGAGCCAGAGACCCCTCTTGGGGAGCTGTCTGCCCCTCAGCCCTCCATCGCCTATCACAGCTGTCACCACAGTAAGTTGAGTCAGCAGGCCGGGGAGGGCAGCAGGGAGGGAGGAAGAGGGCCTCTGCCAGCTTGTGCTAAACCAGCCCCTTCATCCATCAGCCCAAAATGGCTCCTTCTCTCCCTAATGCAAACCATCTGCCTTCAGGATTGTCCCTGACATAACTTGAACCCAACCACAGACAGAGTTCTGCCCCTCCACCAAGAATCTTAAACCTCTAACTTGACCACCTGCTCTGGTAAAAATATCCTAAGGACTCAATGCTCCTGACCCCGGGCAGGGTCTCCTTCTTTACTCCCAGCTCTGTTCCCCGTCTCCCCATCCCTCATGGTCAGGCCTCTCCCCATGCCACCTGCTTGGCCCTAACCTCATGTTCGGAAAGTTCTCCCTTCCCGCTCTCTCCTCCACTTAAACTTCCACTTGTCCCTGTGGATGCCCACTCCCCTGGGAGAGGAATCCTTGTATTATGAGGACCCTTTGGGTTTCTCCTCCTCTCCCTCTACTTCCCTGGCTAAGGGAAGCCTGCTGAGTCCTGGTGGCCCCAACACTCCACCCCCTCCCCCTGGCCTGGCCTCCCACTCCCAGGTCCTGCCTCCGCCTGGCGCATCTGTCTCCCTGTGGCTCCTCATATTTGAAATCCAGGTCACCTCTCTCTCCCTCCTTTCCTTCCTTTTTTTTTTCCTTCTATCTATGATGATTGATTTTTTTTTTTTTTGGTGGCCAGCCAGCACGGGGATCCAAACCCTTGACCTTGGTGTTATAACACCATGCTCTAACCAACTGAGCTAACTGGCCAGCCCTGATTGATTTTTTTAATTAATTATAAAAATAATTCATGCTTGTTGTAATCAAAAAGTCCCAAGAGTATAGAAGTATAAAGCTATGACACTTAGTTCTACCTGGTCCCACCTTCCCAGGAGACACCTGTACCTGGGCTCACTGTTTGGGCTTCTTGGCATACATTTGGTGATCCCAGGGATGCTGTGGTTTCATCTCTAGATTAGTTCTTAATTCAAAGTAAGAGAAACTGACTCTAGCTAGTTTA